GTAATATATATATATATATATAATAATATATATATAATATAATATGGGATAGACTTTCCCCCAGCGATACACCAGGCAGTGGCGAGATGAGGTATAATCGATGTACTCGTAGGCATGTGAAGCTACATGTGAGATCCGCCATGTACTTGGTCGAATCTGTGAGCACTGCCACTACCACTGACACTGCGCTGTACTCACTGCTGGTACTTTTGCAATCAGAGAGATAGGGTCTGTAGAGTATCTTATCCGGCATCATGGCTGGTACAGACAAAGACCACTAGCTACACATGCTTTAGGAATGTGCCACACAGGAATAAAGATCGAAGACAAACCTAATCATTCTACCGACAATAAGTTTTGATAGCAAGACAGTGCTGCTCCTTAAGACCGGCAGTGTTAAGGGTTATAGTCAAGAGACCTGGAAACAATTGTAGTGTTTTGCCTTTAACTCCTTCGCATATAATATATAATATACCTATACCTATTCTCTATACACCAGAAATAATGTACGCGTGCCACCTGTGTGGCAATGCTAGTATACGCCTGAAACAACTAACCCAATGCCCAGCTCGATTGGTGACAATAAGTGATCGTGACTACTTTTGCCATTGATATCTGCGTCTGGAATGCTATACCTCAAATCTGGGTCACATGACCAGATTGCAAGGATACAAGTCTCAAGTACGCGTATTTGCAGGAGATACAGTTCAAGTACAAGGTGTGCATATCCGGTCAAATGTACATGCGTGATATATTCCCACTCGACTAACCTGTATTCACTCCACCTACCCGTCCGTATCACTCGCTATTTTACTGCCTAGATTGTACTAAGCACTACATATCATCCAAATACATTCCTTCGGTGCCTCCCCGCTCACCACTCATAGCCTGTTGAGCGAACACGGATGTAAATAAGGCGAGTATGAACCACTCCTTACCGCCGATAGTATATAGTAGCAGCCCAATTATCAACACGCCTATATTTCCCTCTGCCTAAAGACGAGGCCGGCTCTTGCATGTATCACTCATCACCACCGGTCGATGCTTTACACTTCGGATTTCATACACACGCAAACGAAAAGGCCCACCGAACACTTTCTTTGAAGAAACTTTGTCAGTCATAGCATTCTGCCAACCCAATCAAGTATTGAGCGACTGTAGTATTCGTTAAACTCGCTCAGTTAATGTACCGGATTGCATAGACAGATGGTGGCCAGACACTTGATGTGGCAATACCACAACAGGGGCTTCAT